GTTGAGGGTGTATTGGAGACTTATGGAATATTAGAAAAATAGTTTAATAGTAGATTCATAAATTAGAATGGGTGTACCTTTGATTCTTCAAGTGTAAAATAAAAAAACATTTTATTTTATGCTATTACGAAAAATTGAAGTTTTAATAGAAGACAAAGTTATTCTGGCATCTGTGAAACTTGCTCTAACAAATCTGCTTGGAACATTTTTATCTTTAGCAATCCTTAAATAAAATTGACACAAATGACAGATAAAAGTATAAAGTTGAAAATGTATATAATGATATTTCCAAATTTTGAAAATTGGATGTTTTAGAAGTGTCCAAAATAAAAGTGTGAATTTCTACTATCTTTTATACAACTTGTTGCAGTAAAAAACATACTTTTTAACAATTATTTCATTCCAAGTTTTAGTTGATATTCAAGGAATCTAAATAAAGTGAACGTACATAAAGTCTAAGTAAAATGGGGATGGTTTAGGTAGGGTTATGGTTATTTATGTAAAAGGGGTTAGAATTCATGGTGCGTGAGGAACGGGAATGATTGTTCATATAAAAATGAATGGGAAATGGAGAATGAAATTTTTTCATAGCTAGTTTCATTCCGGAGAAAATTGTTTTTAAAGATTCATGGGGCACGTTGGGTCGGTTGACGTGTGTGACCAATACTCACTTTTTCTATTTATGTGGGCTACAGCCGCGCGTAGGTCATTCTTTTATTACAATATTTGCTGAAACTTTGATATTTTCCATAAAATAATTATATGTTTTGTTGACTAAAAAGAAGATTAACCAAATTGCATAATAAATTTAAATTTACACACTTTCCATTTTGTAGAAATTTAAATCAGTATATTCGTGATATTGTAATTACAACTGATATGTTATTTTTATTACAATATTTCTTCAAACTCTGATCTTCTTCATAAAATAATCCTATGTTGTATTAACTAAAAACAAGATTAATCAAATTGTACAATTAATTTAAATTTACAAACTTTCCTTTTTGTAGAAATAAAGAGCAGTATATTCATGTCACTGTAATTGCAACTAATACAATATCAGTATTATACTTATTAAAATAAAAATTTTATTTTTTTTAGTGTACAATCTCCTTGATAGCATTTCCCGAAGAGCTTTGAGTAATAATTGTTTAACTAATTTGCCACGATTTCGCCGCAGATATTCTAATCAATCATTCAATCTCGAAATAAATTATAACTTGACGAGATTGCATTTCGTAATTGCACAACTTTCATGAAACTTATATTATTACCGTTTAAAGCGTAATAGCAGCTGAACCAGTCGTTCGATGGCAAAACGATTAGGGTTTAGAGGGAAGTAGAATATTTTTAATGCTATTTCTAAGTTTTTCATGAATAGTTGAATTAGAAATAGGAATCAAACTGAGTTAGAAATCATTTTCATTCTAACATGTAGCAGTTTCTTGTCCATTTCGTATAACAATCTAAATTGATTAGAAGTTGATTGACGACCAGATCCATCGTTTAATCGACGACTGATGACGGTTTCACTGTAATTAATTATAACACTTCGGCTACGCTGTCTCAACAGTTTTCCTCTCTATTAGACGTCCCAGAAAACTGCGTCCTTTTATTTCATTACCGCGGCGTAATGGGATAATACACGCTTCATAACGGTGAATATCACTGTTTGATATTTATTGACAATCATCGTTTAATAACTACCATTGTGGGAGCACGTATCTCATTGTTCTGTCGCCATTATTGTCAGCGCAGTATGAAACGGCGTTCTATTACCAAATACGATGGAAACATCTTTTGTTTGCTAAATAAAACCAACCATAGGCAAATAGAAAATCTAATCCTGAAAAAGCGGATGTAATCGAGGCTAGAATTATTTTTCTAGTAAATGTAATTTTATGCTACGTGATTTTAAGTCTTCTGCTTTTACATTAGGTGAATAATAACATGCGAGGACGATTAGTTACGTTAGGGGAGATTTTTAATTATTTATTGACAGTTTTTTTATGGAGGAAAGATTTTAATTTGATTAAATAGGGATTGACTAATTTTTTAAAGTAATATAATAACTGAGTTAGAGAGTAAATTGGATTAAAAATATTGAATCAAAAACTTTATTATTTAATATTCCAAATTCTTAAATATATAATGTAGTTTTCCAGTAAAATAGGTAAAAAACGTCCCAAAAATTAAATGACTATACCACCAAGACTTATTTAAACTAAAATATTACACGAAATATTACAGAGTAAATTGTATTATAAATAAAGAACCAACTTCCTTATTATTTAATATTTAAAATTCTTAAATATATAATGTGGTCTTTCAGTAAAATATTGTATAGTAAAATTAACTGCATAGTGACTCACACGTCTCAAGAATGAAACGACTATACCCCCAAAGACTTATTTTAAAGAATCAACCTCCTCATTATTTAATATTCCAAATTCTTAAATATATACCCTAATTTTCCAGCTTAAATTCTACAGTAAAATTAACTGCGTAGTGACTCAAAGGTTCAAGGAATTAAACTACTATACCCTCAGGACGATTGCAATTTTTTAATTCGCAAAACGATAACGAAGTTTATCGCCTACGCAGGTGTTCGAAAGTTTCGCGAAATTAAATCGGAAAATTGTGAAAATTAGCGGGCTCGTTTGGCGAAATATTCTCGATCGATCAAAGTTCCTGTTTGGCCAGAAAAAATCACTGGAAGCGATCAGAAGCTCCTACGCGAATGGTATCCGAGGAAAAGTTCCTGTTACGCCCGAAGTATGCGGAATTTTCAAACACGTTAAGTTTCTCCGATACTGCGCCACCTTAAGACATCTATCGAACTCGAGAACTCGCTGTAATTGAAGGCTCGAAGAACAACAGACAGTAGATGGTCCCGGTATTCTCTACGTTTCATAGTCACGTATTGAAGGCTCAAATTGTTATGAGAATTTAAACAAGGTATTGATTTTCCGCACTGCAGTCAATTATTATTTTTTTTTTATAAATATTCTAGCATTTTCCAACTGCAATTTAATTTCATAGCAATGGAAATTTAACAATTGCAATGAAAGATAATTGAAATCTCCAATAAAAATGAAACAAATGGGAAATGAAAAATATAGTTTCATAAAACAGAATGCAATATTTATTTAAATCGTTTTTCGTATCTTGTTTAGACATATAAAATTGAAAATTTTAATTGCTTCACTAAATATTAGCATCGAGTTCTATTCTACTTTTATTTCACAGGAAAAATAAATTGTTTTAGTGTTTTTTATTTAGGGTGAATTAATGAAATGAATTATGAGTTTATTGTAAGTAATATTTTTATTATAGAATGTTTTGTTAAATTATTTTATATTATAGAATTAGAGCCATGAAGAGTAGTAACTGTTGATTAAGAAAATCGTCGTGTAACGTTCGCGATTTCTTGACTTAATAAAGCAAACTGCAATTAGCCACTTGCAGACTTAAATTAAATGGAATGTCGCTGAACGTAACACGAGTTCTCAAGTCTTCTTCGGAAGAAAGCACTTGAAAAAACACTGGTATTTCTTTCGCGCGTGTTTGTTCATGGTGCATTCGAATTTTATTAGAGTTGTATGGAATTATTTTTGTATATAAATTGAATATTAATAGAAAACTGGCTAATGTGAAATAAATAAGAATATAATTGGAGAAAAAAATCACGATGCAGGTAAGTTCTTTTGAAGTTATCCTTCTGACATCTCAAAACTGAATTTTGACGTACGAAATCACTGCACAACTATTCCAAATATTTTTTCTAATCTGGAAAATCTAAAATTCACTCTTTGGTAATTAACATAGTTAGCAATAGATAAACACATAAATTGGTTAATTTCATTAAGAAATAAAACTCAAAGCCCCCCGATAAATTAAAATAAATTTCTCGCCTTAGATCAACCTTCAAAAAATCTTAAAAAGTCACTCTTTAAAAGAAAAAAGAAATTTACTCCTCCACAATAAATTCTCCGCGAAACAATCTATCACTGTGATCACACTTGCACTGATCCATTCGTAACTCGATACGAAAATCTGCCTCGAGCACTTCAACTTGAAAAGAAACTCCTCGACAACACTCGTTACAAAATAAAAAAAAAAAAACAAAGCTGAAAAACGCTCGCGTATTTAATTACAGGACACGGCAAAACCCCACGGAAAACATAGAGTCGACTCCGCCGAGTAAAAGTTGTTAAAAAATACTGCGCACCTACCTGCGTGGGTCGGGCGAGCCTGGGTTGAGTACCGAAGAGCAGATAGAACGACGGGTATGCGAGATATTCGCGTGCAGTTGCACAGTGATCGAACGCAGTTGGAAATGAAAAAAAAAGGAACGAGCAAATCACCGCGAAACAGCGTACGTGCGAGGTGAATGACGAACAGATGAAGCACAAAGTGCGCGCAGCGGGCTCGGGCTTCCCCTCTTTATACCCTCGAACTTGTACCTGTGCTTGCGCAGTTCGGCCTCTTAAGCTGCGTACACTAGACTCCTTCGTCTGTTTGACGCGCGAACCGCCACGTGCTCCAATCGTGCATCGCCTGGGATCCTTCGTACTCCAAATTTCGGCTTTCACGCTTTTAAACGCGTTACTTCGTTCGTTTGGGGAAGCATCTAGAGCGGGTCAGAGATGGGTGGTTGGTGTTTTGGTTCGATTCTTTGTTTCTTCTTTGTGTATATTTTTAGGGAAGATATACAGTTAGTCTTGTAAGTATTCGTGCCTTCTGTATCTACTGAAGAAATTTGAGTAATTTAAATGAGAGGCTTCATGTTTCACAAATGAATTTTGTATTATAAATGTGTACATGAATGAAATTCGCATATGTGTATAATTATGATTATACATTTATTTGGAAAAATGAAGCATTTGTTTAAATTAGACAAATTTCTTGTGTAGATATAGACGATAGGAATAGTTGTGGGATTGATTGTATGGAGGGAGGGTAGCCAGGTGAGATGGAATAATGGAATAAAGGATTGCTTGTGTGTCTTCAAATTTGAAGAGGTGATTCTTTATCAGTTCGTTGAAATTGTAGCATCTAGGTTATATTGTGTCCTTCGGACACGATTTTCGTCTGAACAATAAATGAAAAGAATAATCAGCTGATAGGGAATGATAGAATAGAGGGTAACTCGTGTGTTTTCAAGTTTGAAGAGGTATTTCTTTACCAATACGTCGAAACTATAGCTTCTAGGTTATGTTATCTCTTTCAGACACAATTTTTGTCTGAAAGATAAACGAGAGGAGATAATCAACTGACAGAGAATGATAGAATAGAGGATAACTTGTCTGTTTTCAAGTTTGAAGAGGTATTTCTTTACAAATACGTCGAAACTATAGCTTCTAGGTTATGTTGTGACTTTCAGACACCATTTTTGCTTGAAAGATAAATAAGAGGAGATGATCAACTGACAGGGAATCTTAGAATAAAAGGTAGCTTGTGTGTTTCCAAATTTGAAGATGTGATTCTTTACCAATTTGTTGAAGATATAACTTCTAGGTTATGTTGTGTCCTTTAGACACCATTTTTGTCTGAACAATAAATATAGAGAATAGTCAGCTTTCAGGGAATAATAAAACAGAGGGTTACTTTTGTATCTTCAAATTTGTAGAAATGATAACAGCTGATGTCCAATGATGAAAATTTCTTCGATATCTTCAAATCTGTTCTATTTACTTCAATATCTTTCTCTCATGTTATGTTTAGAGTGTAATAATATGTCAAGTCCCAAAAATGAAAATTGCCTAGCTTTTCCAACATTCAATTCACTATATCTTGCTTCCATTTCTGCATCCCCTTTTCCTAGAAACGAGACTCATTCCAGAGACAAACGAAACGAATCGTTAGCTTACAACTAATGATGAACCAGAATCTTGCTTCGATATCTTTAAATCTGAACTGATGCTACTCCATCAATTCGTCTTAGGTTATGTTCAGCAATAAATGCTGACTTTGGTCTGAAAGATATTAAATTCAAGGCTTAACGAGCATCCAATTCCCTGAAATGTCCCTTACTTTTTATAGTTTTCACCTCACGAAATAACATTCATTTTTGGAGACACATGGAATCGTATGATTCTCACCAATCCTCCATCAAATGCCTAATTCTATAACTTTGCATTCGAAATAGATCGAAACCTAATTCTCAGATTATGTCAAAACTTGAATTTAAAACATTGCATGGTCTCGAAACTCCCAGTACTCAAAGTGTTCATCTGTTCTCTTTTTTATTTTTACAAAACAATGCTTATTTTATTATAAGAGATATAATAAGAATATATATAATAATATTATTATATACTACTACTAATAATATAATATATAATAATATTATTATATACTACTACTAATAATATAATATATAATAATATTATTATTATTATAATATTATAAAAGATATTATAAGAAACTAAAATCTTCTCAATTTCATTCAGAAAGTAACTTTCTCTAAGTGAATTCCAATTAAGGATTGAAAACTTTATAAAGTTAAGAACAGTAATGAATACTGGAGAAGACCGTTGCCCGAGGCATTAAAATTCCCGGGAAGAATTCTACCGCGAATGAGCATAGTTTATTTAAAACATATCGACTTCGACTCGAATGAATTTTGCAAAATATGACGCGAAAAGGAACCGATCGATCGACGTCTTACTGGCGAGATATACCTGCGACGATAACATAAAAAAAATGGTCCGCGAGTTAAAACTGCGCCTCGTTAATAAGTCACAAAGTCATCGTGTCGGCGTTTACTGAGATCGATCGGTTAGGACAGAAATTTGTGTATCGAGAACAATGGGAACAGATGGAGGATCCATCAGTTAGGCGTTGCTGTGATTGATACACCGATGGACATGCAATGGAACGTCGATTAAACGAAGCAATTGCTGTCATAATTCCTCTGTGCCTAATTAGTAAAAATTATTCAACATAGAAAATTATCCTAACACCTGGAGATCGTTTGTCAATCTTTCTTGACTCAGAATTAATCAAACTCATTATTATACTGACAAAAGTGTAATGGGACGTTAATTAAACAAAGCAATAGGTATTATAATGCCTTTGTGCCAAATTACTAAAAATTATCCTAACACCTTAAGATCGTCACCATGTCATTTAATCATTTGATGGAGTGCATCTCAACTTTTCTTGACTCACAATTAGTCAAACTCGTTATTATCCAAAGGATTTTCAAAGTCGCTTTTTCCAATAATCGAGGATCAAGAAAGTGATATTGATGATTGTTACACCCCACTTTGTATATTGAAAATGAATTTTAAGAGAAGGATTACGTGCCGCAGTCTCAAGATGGAAGTTTTACAAGATTGTAATTAATGTTAGAGAAAGTGATTAATTACATCTTGGTATTAGACTCAGCAAGCTTTATTTATGATAGACAATTATTAAGTACAAAAAGAATAAAGTAAAATAATTATAAACTAGTAATACATTTCCTTTCATCCATAGAATCCAGAAAACGTTGCGTATTTCGAAAAGAACAGCAAAATAAATTTCATTGGTCTGTAATGTGCTCGATCATCCTGCAGCTATCAGTTTAAAGCGCAGGAACGAAGGTTCGGAATAGTTTGCACACCTGGGGCTGTAGCATCTTCGGAATTAAAAGCATCACATTGTTTTTGAGATGGATTCTTTACCAAAGTATCGCGAAGAATATTATTTGCCAACAACCACGTACCAACATTTGAAAATTGAATTTAGTAAGTGTCGAGACAAGACAAATTATTCCTCACATTCGAAGCAACAAGTCGATTATTTACTTTTGAATCACTTGGAAGAAAAATTGGATGATTTTCTAAATAAAATGTGTTATAATACGAATTAATCTTAAAATTGTTAAACTTGCAGCAAGTTCTAAATAAGAATTTAGATCATACATGGACTTCAGAAAGAAGTCGACAGGTTGAAATATTTAATATTAGCCTCGTGTTGCTCTGGAAATTATTACACAATAATTATCAAGCGATAGGTAACAGGACAACAAAAATAGTCTCAAAATTAATTCTTTAATCTAGAGTTGAATTAATAGTAGCCATACAGAAAGAAAAAAACACGATATGATACAACGGAAAATAAACATCAGGTAATATTTAATATCTGGATTTATGAAATATTTGTTAAATAAAATGCTAATATTTAACTCTGTTAGCACATCATAAAATCTGCAAATATGAGTAATACAGAAGAACTCATAAAACGACTGTTGCATTGATAGATTTGCATGCACATAATGGAAATTTGAATGTGGACAAAACTTCAAATTTGGAAATAAAAAGTGTTAGAAATTAAGTTAAACAAGAAAGTGAAATACATTACTACACTCGGCCTAAAAAAAATAGGGACACTTCTTCAAAACTTCATAACTATGGGAGCTTTCAACCGATTTTTGTGAAACTCCGTCAGGAGTAGTTTTGAAGTGTCCTCTGGGTGTGTGCAAAGTTGCATTGGCGAGGGTTGATGAGAAGGGATTAATTCACACCCTGTACAAAATGCACCCCTTGAAATCCCTCTCGGACAAACCCACCCCCCACAAACCCCCACCCCCTCTAAAATCCACAATTTTTGGACGACGGTCTCGATTTTGGACTCAATGCATTCTCTGGACCCCCCCCCCCCGATCGAGAAAATGGTATCACCCATACCGTGCACCCCATAGGCACCCTTTGGGGGGTGGAACAGCTCGCAAATTTTTAACCCACTTCATAAGGGAGCACTTCCACACATCGGAGGACGATGAAATTTACCATGTTTGTTCTCGATATGTTAAGGATGAATGCCGAAAAGGTCCCGTTTCGAAAACTGCCCCCGAACTGAAGGGAGGGGGGGGGGACAGAGGTAGGGGTGGTCTACCCTCAAGTATAAGGGTTGGAACGTTGTCACGCTGCGTGGATTACATGTCCAACAGTCCAGGGCATCGGGCTGACACAGTTTTGATGTCTTTTTCCAGCGTAAATGACAATAAAATACGAAAATGTCGATTTTTTTTAAAACTTGCTTCCAAATTCAGGCCCATCTGCAGGGTGAACGAGCAACCCTACGACAACGCCGTTCATGGTATCGGATGCGCGAATGCTTTATTAACAGATACCCAAAAATTCAGATTTTCTCAATCACGCTTTCGTTGTCAAATCGGAGCAGATTTGAAAGAGTAGTAAGTAGGCCGGCATTCAGAAGCGGAGCGAGGGCCTGCACCCGTACGTGGTTAGACCAGACCGGACTCCAATTTAACGTGGGCCGATCACTACGGGCGCAGGGTCTCGTACCACTTTTGAATGCCGTTTCCGAACGGCCCACTTACTACTCTTTCAAATCTACTCCGATTTGACAACGAAAGCGTGATTGAAAAAATCTGATTTTTTGGGGATCTGTTAATAAAGCATTCGCGCGTCTGAAT